AAACGGTGAAGAAGCAGTTAAAAATATCGTCTACCCAGAAATTTACAAGGACCTAATGGATTAGAAAGGTTAGTCTGCTGTACCACTACAATTAGACAACACAACGTATTTGACATGTATACAGTTAAATAAAACACACTAACCAACAATGTCTATTTCGCAGCTATGCAAAGCAGCACCCACAAACAAAAAGAGATCATAGGTTCTACTAAATTGGTAAGCTCTCACATGAGTATGTTATCCCTCAATCACGTTGCCTAACAATGTTCAATTTCATAACACTACATATTGTAATTCAATTTCCTCGACCATTGAATTACTTTATACACAAAGTTTTTAACCAGCATTGGACACAAGAGGACACACTCAATCTACTTTTGGATTACGCCCATCTATGAGGCGATTTCAACCAATCAAGTAATAATGAACCTCCAAATTATATAATTTTCATGCAGAACCATTCAGTTCTCCCAAGGTTTCTTAATCCTACCCAGATGAATTCCAAACACAAACAAGGAGCACCAATAAAAAGGAACATCCAACCTATATTTGCATAGAAAATCAAATACTCTAACTCCTTCACCAACCCGAACGCTCCTCTTTCTCCGTCCCCTTTCGCTGACGCCAAACCTGTCGCCTAAATCCCGACAATCATATTCTACCCCCTTCTCTCTTTTCGTTTTCTACTCTCTTCTTTCCCTACGGTAACATGTATATACCAATTCTAAAAAGCAAACAAAATTGAAACAAAATCCAATAAACCCACTTAAGAAAATGATGATATACCAAATTTTATACTAAGACAATCACACAGAAAAGTGGATTTAACGCACCCACTGACCTACCTCACAATAATTGAGAAGAACAACGACAAAAGCAAAAAGAAACAAAAAAAGGGTCCAATATAGCCACCGAGGCCCAATCAACAAAGTCACGCAAACCAATAACGTATGTTTAGTCCTTAATAAATATTACCAAAATAGCAAGTCAAATATAACAAAACAAACCCACATAATCGGAGCCCAACAAGTAGGCCCATTTTATAAACCCTATTCTTTTCCCCAAAATCTCCATCATAATACGATCGATTACTCTTTCCGATTCTGGAAAAAAACAGTCCTTCCCATTTCCTGTTCTTAATAACTCTCCACTTATCTCATTCAATAAAACAAATTTCGCTAATTCATGACCATTACATCCACTTATCACCTCACCAAAACCATTTTTCAACGTCTGCCAAGCCAAAAGACACATACATCACGAGTGGTTATAAATACAAAAATATCCATCACAAAACAGCAAATGAAACAAAACCAAAAACAATGGCAACTCCAAACACCATAACATACTCTTTCTCATATCAAATTCATCAACCTAACACAAGCCCCCTTAGTCAAATCCACCTAAGAATCAAAAGGCCGCGCACACAACAAACTGATATCGTTGTAACCACGCCGTACGGAAGAAACGGGGCACGCCCACCTCTTCAAACATTATGGCTTACCATCGAAGATCTCCTAACTTACCACGCAATAGAGCCGTCTGTCGCCCAAAGAATGACTACAAACTTTCTCAATTTCCTCGACGCCGCCCACACAACAAATGTAAGTCAAAGAGGAACCACATTTACTTTCTACTTAAATATTACCGACTACAACTTGAATGCAGTAGCTAGGCTAGACACGGATCTCCTCATATTTGATCTAGAAGATGCCCAAAGACCTCCAACGCCAGAGGAGGAGACATCTGAATGNCCAATCTGCTTACAAACATTCTTCGGAAGAAACGATATCAACAATCTGGAATGCAACCACACTTTCCACCATCACTGTATTGTCGCTTGGTTATATAGAAGAAATAATTGTCCAATATGTAGGGCAACATAGCTTCACAATATTCTCGCTAATATAGGCACTGCACTTCTTTGAATAAAATTTTTTTTTTGCATAATGTTGCAATTCCTACATAATTTGTTTACTAAATTCTTATCGAATTTTTTCGTAATTTTACTGCTATGTTTAAAGAAATGTTCCATATATACAAACTTTACGACCAAACACATGTCAGCATACCAGCTTCTCCCGTACCCTGAATGTACAATTACTTGCAATTCTACATTACAATTCCACATATCAGTCTATATTACGCTCTTGCATCTTCCTCCAATAAACAATAAATGACAACGAAACCGGGAAGCCAGCAGGGAAAAAAGTCACGGGAAAATAAGATACTAATCAAAACCTTCATCATTAAAAAGAACTTACAAAAGCATAAGATATTAAAAATATATATATTTAAACAAACTTATATTCAGAAAAACGAACCCAATACATCAATTGAAACCAACCCGGTACCCAGAAAAAATTCAAATGGATGATTTATCTAAGTCAAAGTGAATGCATACGTCGTATTTGTGAAAGCCTCATGTTGGATGTGTTATAACATTGATGGTAGTGCAGTTAGTCAATAATTTCTATACGGACCATATTTCTATTTAAAAAATTTAAAAACATTCATAACACAAACTTCAATACAACAACAGATAACGCAGTCCCTGAAGAAAACAACAAAGGAACATCTCTAAAAAGTTTGGCAACACGACGACAACAAATCAAAAGACACAAAAAATTCCTAATAAAACCATATCGAACCAAATATAAAATGTACAACAAATATAGAAATACTAATGTTCATTTCCGCGGAAAACATAAACACCAAAAAGGCCATTTAAATCGAATAAGTATTACCAAAACGGACGAAAACGTAATGCAAACGGGCTCAACTT